TGGTAAAGCGCTTGGCTAGCATGTGTAATACACGAAATTCTATCCTCAGCACAACATAAAAAAATAGATAAAGTTATTATGTCCATCTACAACTAAATGTTTTTTTTTTAAAAAAGTAAGACTATCTTTAATTGCAGGAAACATGGTATTTATGGAGAACATAAGGATCTTAAAGAGTCTATTGACTATTAAAATTAGTGAATTTAGCAAGTGCTCAGGTAAAAACTCATTATATTTTTAATATACCATATTTTTTAATATACCATATAGAAAATGAAATTCAAAAAACAGTTACAATAGTATTTTTTTAAAAGAATTGGATTATTTTTTTCCCAAAACAAGCATGATCTCTATCCTGAAAACTATAAAATGTTACTGAGTGATATTAAGGACCTAAATTAATGAAGAGATATAACATGTTCATGGATTGGAAGATGCAATATTGTTAAGATGGCAGTTCTCCTCAATTTGATGTATAAATTGAATGCAATCCCCACCAAAATTTTGCAATACATTTTTTAAAAATAGAAATTGACAAGCTGTATATGTTAATTATGTACAATTTTTTGTACATTCTTCAATAAAGTGGTTTTCAAAAAGGAAATTGATAAATTGATTCCAAAATTTATATTGAACCAAAAAACGAAAAATATTTAAAGTGGTGCTTTTCCATAGAACTTTCTGTGATAATGAAAATATTCTCTACCTCTAACATTCAGTATGAGTAACCATATATGACTATTGAGTACTTTAAAAAGTTCCTAGTACTGGGTGCTATGACATACAGCTGTAATCCCAGTGACTCGGGAAGCTGAAGTATGAGAGTCACAATTTTGAGGCCAGTCTCAGCAATTTAGGGGCACCCCATCTTAAAAAATAAAAAGGGTTGGATATGAAGCTCAGTGGTATAACAACCTTGAATTCAACCAATCCCCAATACTTCCCTTTCTCGCTTCCCCAAAAAAGGCAAAAGTTTCTAAAAGAAAACTCGAGTACAGGCAAAGATTTCTTAGGTCATAGAAAGTAATAACCATGAAAGAATAAATTGATAAATTAGATTTAATTAAAATTTCTTGTCAAAAGATAACAAAAAATGCAAAGGGAAGCCACAGACTTCAAAAAATATTTGCAGTACGTACGTACCCATATCTGACAAGGAACTGATGTTCAGCATATATAAAAATCAGCTGCAACTCTGATTTTTTTAAGACAGCGTAACTTAGAAGTGGTCAAAAGATTTGAGTAGATTTCTTCACAAAAGCTATATAAGCCAGGCGAGGTTGTGTACGCCTGTAATCCCAGAACATGGGAGGCTGAAGCAGGAGAATCTCAAACTCAAGACCAGCCTCAGCAATTTAGCAAAGCCCTAAGCAACTTAATGAGACCCAGTGTCAAAATAAAAAGAGATGGGGATGTGGCTCAGTGGTTATATGTCCCTGGGTTCAATCCCCAGGTTCAATCCCCAGTACAAAGAAAAAAAGAGAAGAAAATAAAAGCCAATAACATAACATCTTTAGTCATTGGGGAAAGACAAACTCAGACCAAAATATTACTACACATCCACTAGCAGAGCTAAAATTAAAAAGACTGGAAACCCCAAATGAGTCCTAGGACTGGCCAGTTGAGTGAAGCAACTGGAATTCCCATACTTTGTTTGAAGTGTAAAACTGTACATCCCTTTTGGGGGAAAAAAGGCAATTTCTTAATATAGCTGAACTTATACCTCTCTTATAACCCAGCGATTCCACTCTTAGGTATTTGCCCCAAAGATGTGAAAGTACATACACACACACACCTGCACAAGAACGTTCATAGAAGATATCCATTAACAGAAATATTGATAAACTGTCCTATAAACAAGCTCATATGATCCTACAGGGGAATTCATATAATTTAACTGTGTGGTTTGCTTTGGAGTTTTCTAGGATGYAGGACAACAAGCATTAAATCTAGGAAACTCAAGAGCAAACAGGAAGACTGGATTACCTCAGCAATAAAAAGAACTAATTACTGATACATCCAGCCATATGGATAAACCTTAAAAACGTGGAGAGAACAAAACCTGCAAGAGTTCACCTTCTGAGATTCCATTTACATGAAGTTCTAGGTAGCTTGAGCTAAGCCATAGAATAGAAGGAGGGGAGTGTTTATACCTGGGGCATTGACTGATGCGAAGGGGTATACAGGAACTTTGGGTATCCATGATACTGTTATGTATTTGGGTAGAGATTGGGGTTACACAGGTGCTGAAGCCTTATTTTTCATTTTGTAATCCTGTATTTTGCAGGATGAATCTTATTTCATTTTTTAAATCTGTGAGTTTCTTTCATTGTTTTACATATGTAATTTAGCTACCGGTTGTTTTGTTTTATTCAATGATTCTTTGTTTTCTTACAACCTTTTAAAAAAGTTTTCATTAGTATTTACAAGTTTAAGCAGAGTGTCTCTATAGTATAACATATCCTTTCAAGCCATCTTATTTCTCAATGTAGTGAATATAAACTTCTTATGGTTATTTTAGGTAATTCTTATAGAATTCTGTTTTCTTGTTCTTGCTACCTTACTCTTCTTTAATAGCATAGTAATATTTCAAATTTTTTTTTTAGTTTTCGATGGATATTTATTTATTTATTTATTTATTTATTTATTTATTTATTTATGGTGCTGAGACTCGAACCCAGTGTTTCACATGTTAGGCAAGCCACTAAGCCACAACCCCAGACCAAATAGCATAGTACTTTTAAAACTACACCTGAGCAGAGAGTAGTGGTATGCATGTGTAGTCCCAGATATCAGAAGGCCTGGGCAGCATAGCAAGACCCTCATCTCAAAAAAAAAAATCTGGATTGGTTTTAGATTAACTTTTTTTGTTGTTAACATTTATTGTTGGGCTGGGGATGTGGCTCAAGTGGTAGCGCGCTCGCCTGGCATGCGTGCGGCCCGGGTTCGATCCTCAGCACCACATACCAACAAAGATGTTGTGTCCGCCGAGAACTAAAAAATAAATATTAAAAATTCTCTCTCTCTCTCTCCCTCTCCCTCTCTCTCACTCTCTCTTTAAAAAAAAAAAAAAATTTATTGTTTCAGATTTATGGAAGTGAATGGGCTCAAAGAAGATACTATCTCAACATCTTTCAAATGTATAAAATGTACATCTAAAATGTATAAAAATATATTATAAAGGAAATTACTTTCTAAAATTTTTAAATAATTTTTAGTTGTAGATGGACACAATACCTTTATTTTGTTTATTTATTTTTATGTGGTGCTGAGGATCAAACCCAGTGCTTCACACCTGTGAGGCAAGTGCTCTATTGCTGAGCCAAATTCCCCAGCCCCAGGAAGTCATTTTTGATAATAATTCTCAACAATGTTAGCCCCAGTATACCCCTCTAGTAGTAAGAGTTTCATAACTGTTTCTGTCCTGAAGTTAATAATGTCTAACCTTCTGCACATATAAAATTCAACATAATTACTCTAGTTGTAAGATAAGAAAGAAAAGGTAATCAATAAATATGTCAATTATAAATTTGGGGCATGATATACTAGTCAGATGTTTGTATCTAGACATAGAAACCATGAAGGGGCCAGTTGCAAATGCAGAATGTTACAAGGTATTTTGCTTTGGTCACATACACCAAGTAGTATTGCTGTCAATGTCATGATTTTTTGAAACATTTGAACAACTCTTCATAAAATTCTGAACAAAACAAAGTGCAAATTTCCCTCTATTTACACATTATATGTTTTTTTCTGGAAATTATTGCATATGTTTATGCAAACATAAAACTTTGTTTATATGTAAAACCGAGTTAAATTCAGCCCAGATAATTATAAACAGTTCTTAATCTTCATGAATATCCAGGAAGATATTTGAAAGTTACAAGATGAGGGAACAATTCTTCTATGTGGAAGACGCCCCTGCGAATTTCAGGTCATATAGCATTCCTGGATCTTGTGTCCGAAATATCATAATCACTCCTTAATCTCAAGACAATCAAAATATAAAATCGCAAACACCATACAGGGATCTCTTTGAAAATGGTGTCATTTCTCAGAATTCTTTTAATGCATAAGATAAAATATATAGAATTACAAAGGAAACCAATTGTACTGAAATAAAAACCCCAAGTTAAGAATCCCTGCAAAAGGTGATATGTACACTCTTTTCCAATGTACATACTACTGTTGAGAACCRCTAAGTTATAAGGGCTTTCTATATTTGGAAAAATGGTGAAAATTATGGGCTTAAAATGTATATAACATTTTAAAAAGTACATTTTTTTTTTTTTAAACTTATTTTGAGATAGGCTTTTTTTTTCTTAAAGACAGAATTTTTTAACATTTATTTTTTAGTTCTCGGCGGACACAACATCTTTGTTGGTATGTGGTGCTGAGGATCGAACCCGGGCCGCACACATGCCAGGCGAGTGCGCTACTGCTTGAGCCACATCCCCAGCTAAAAAGTACATTTTGAAAGTACATTTGAGTGCCTCAATCACTTTATCATCCGCATAATGGCAAAATAGAAAACTAACATACACTCTCTAATGGACTGGAATAAATAGCTGAGGAACTGACTCTCTCTCCTACTTTGTAGCAGAAATTAAGTGTACCAAATGGACTGATGCTTCTATTTTCCATTCATTTCTCATGACTAAACTATCTGATTAGCATTACTTAAAGTTCAGATCTTTTGCCAATTTGTCTATTCATATGTTACTTAAGGGAATAGGTAACCTTGGCAGAACAAAATCTTCCTCCAGCTGCCATTTGGCAAGTTGGCGAAGAACTTACACACATTAGCTTACACATATTAAACACAACATGTAATTCTAGGAATAGGAATTGTAAAGCAAGATATCAAGAATTTATTTCAATAGGCACCCACTCAGTGCTTTCTAGGAGTGCTTTGTAAGAGGTGACCATACGGCTGTGGACAAATAGCTTGTGATGACTAATGTGCAGAACATCATGATGATGAATTTTGTTTCTTTTAGGGTATGTCTCTGTGCCAGACAGTCGTCGTAGGCTCTGTAGTCATTCTTCTCTACTCATCCAGAGCTTGTTATAATTTGGTGGTGATCACCATATCTCAGGATACATTAGAAAGTCCTTTTAATTATGGCTGGGATAATCTTTCAGATAAGGTAAGTATCTACCACATATTGCCAATCTTCCATTAGTATAATTGGTAATTAAATTAGCCTTAGCTAGGAGAAGATTTTAGTGTTTGTCATATGCACACGTTTATAGAATCTCTGTGTTTAAATATCCTAATTTTCATGGGACTTAAGCTCTTTCTTCAGAAAGAACTTTCAAAGGAGTATTTCCTTTATTTTTGTAAATAATAATAGTAACATAAGCCTGAAAATCATAAACCTAATTTACCTTTTTAAAAGGATGATGTTTAAATAACACTACATAAATTAATCATCTGTAGTTAGCCAATGGGCATATCTTTAATTTTTTGGATGAAATTAACTCTTCCTTCCCAAGAATTCCATATAATTAATATTGGCTTTGTTTTAGATGTGTAAATAGTGAGTTTCTTTAAAATATAGCATTACCCATCTTACTAGAAAGCATTCATATTTCCTTAGGTGTCCAGATATTTACTGTAGTAATTGCCAGTACACTAGCTATACATATTCAACTTCCCAACATTCTCCATCCCCTTCCTGAAAGTGCAGTTTGACATAAGTATATGTCATATCTTTTTATTAATTTAACTTTGTACTGAATTTGAGGCAACCTAGAAATATCATGTTTATTTTATCTTTCCAGGGAGAAGGAATTTTCACATGTGGTTCTATGTGGCAGATTCTCTTCACTCCTTTTCCCATTTCCCTCTCTCAACATCTAGTAGAAAAGAAACAAATTCATTATGTAGATTAGGCACGAAAGCATATTTTAAGTAGCAGCTGAGCTGAGTGACTTAACATGTTACATTTCTGTACAGGTCTAACTCAGGGTGAGTGCTATTGTGCCAGCAGAGCAGCTAGAATAATAGTCCCTTTTAAGCAACTCTCTTCAGACTATGAGGCCTAAAATTAGGTCATTCCTTGTTATCCAAAGATTAAAATTATTTTCATAAACTGATGCATTGAACAAATTAACAGCTTTTATTCTACTTAACATCAAAGCATTTTTATGTCCCGTAAAGGAAAAAGTATTGTTAATAAACCACAAAATATGGAAAATTTTAGAGTTTATATGCTTGTAATTGATGCATTTTAACTTAACCCAACCTGAAATGAGGCAATTATATAGAGTGATTGCTTATACGTAAAACAGGTATTAAAATGGTTCTGCCATGTTCTATTTACAGGCTCATGTAGAAGATGTAAGTGGAGAAGACTATATAGTATTTGGAATGGTCCTCTTTCTGTGGGAACACGTGCCAGCCTGGTCAGTGGTACTGTTTTTCCGAGCACAGAGATTAAGCCAGAATTTGGTATGATATCCTACTACCCGCCCCCCCACTGCTTGTTTCCTTATTTTTTAAAAATATAGAACACATATTGATTTCCTATTTTTAGCAAAGTTTTAGACTAAAAGTCTTTATAGATTCTAGCCTCTTTTCCTAGTTAAATAGCATGTACTATCTAATACTTTATTCACAGGCACCTGCTGGCATGATAAACAGTCACAGTTATAGTTCCAGAGCTTACTTTTTTGACAATCCAAGACGATATGATAGTGATGATGACTTGCCAAGACTGGGAAGTTCAAGAGAAGGAAGGTAGATGTGACAAAAATAACTTATTCTGAATTTAATATCAAAATAGCTTGAAAGAATGAATCTAAGCTTTAGCCCAAATATTAGAAAGGTGATGTAATGAAATATGTCAATAAATATGTAATACTGAAGCTTAAAGCAGTAGATGTCTAACCCAGGTGGTATCTGCCCTATAAAGAACTACCATCGGACTCAAAGCCTATATATTACCTTAGTTTGAGAAATGCACTGGGGACAAAATGTGTTTCATTTCATTTTCAGGACCCTTGTTTCAGAGCTGGGGGGAGGAGGAGGGGTGTGAGCAGGGAAGGAATGCTGTTGTACTGATTACATATCTGTTTCTATATTCCTAGTGCTGTTCCAAATCCACAAAGAAACATTAGATAACTTTGGGAAGTTTAGGTGCCTGAGGAAATTTTCCTATGCCCTCTTGTTCCAAAACTACTGCAAGTTTTTAACTAGTGTACTCTTAGCTCTGTATCAGGGCAAAGAGAAAACCTAATGCACACCTTCATAATTCTTTGAACTTGATATAACATTTTGGGTAATGCTAACTTCATTTGGATAAGTTCCTTGAACGCAGTTTTTTGAGCCTATATTTTCATTTGTAAATAGGGAAGAAAATAGAACCTAGCTCAAAGGATTGTAGTGAAGGATGAGTGTATGTGTGTTTGTATACATACATATATGTCTTAGAATAGAGCCTAGAATAAAATAAGTACTATATTATTATTAATCATAGTAAGTTAATAAGTGCTACCAGTTCTGAGAGGCGTGTATTCATTATTTTGTAATATAATGTGATACAGATCAAAGATTCCAGATACGTCATTGGATTTTATAAAATATCATGGTTATTTTCAAAGAACCTTTCAGCATATTTGATACTGTCATGAAATTCATTGAAAATGTTAAAACTGCCAACGTGACTTCTCACATACTGATCATAGTCCATTGGCTTCTTTGCCTTTTTTGTTGTTTGTTTGCAGTTTATCAAATTCGCAAAGCTTGGGCTGGTATGGCACCATGACTGGGTGTGGCAGCAACACTTACACAGTCACTCCCCACCTGAATGGACCTGTGACAGATACGGCTCCTTTGCTTTTTACTTGTAGTAATTTAGATATGAGCAATCACCATAGCTTAYATGTAACACCACAAAACTGATAGCATTACCAAATTGTGATTCTTGAATTGTTTTTCATGAATATGTATATTTGACGTGTTTAAATTCCATCTACATGAACATTCCATTATCTGTTGCAACTGAAAACAAAATCTGGAAACCTGGCTGTGTTTGGTGGAGAACACAAGCTGTTACTTTTGACCTCTGCTTAGTAAAATTAAATAAAATGGAAAGTTTGGAGTAGGAGAAAAGATAAATTAGATTTTTAAGGCCTCCAAACATCCTGATTTTGGAACACCAACTGCATATTAGCATATTTGCACTTTTATCTCTGTTCTGAAAGAGTACATTGCAGTCCCCAATGCCAGTGTTCACACTGGAATATTATGTACACCAAATTGGAAGGCACGTTTTCTACGAAAATCAAAGCCTATATATTTTGTGGTGTACTCTGTGGAATCTTTACCCAATTACAATTTTATGGTGTGAACAGTGCACAGTTTAGGCATAAAAATACATTATTCATTTTAAAATCCACTAAATATATGTAATCATTGAAGACAGTTCTTTTAAGCATGAACTTAAAATACCAATTGAGATTATTCAAACAATCATTTTAAACAACTAATAGTATAATCCTTTACAGTAATGACCAGCAATGTTGTTTGGAAAGCCACAGTAATTTCTTCAAGAAGAAAATATACCAGTGAAAATTGTGTGGCTATTTTGATTAGAATTGGTCAAGTGATTATTTTGTACAATTAAGATATATATGTAGTAGTTTAAGCATGATTCTTCAAGAAAGCAATAGTGATTTTTGCATAGGGAGATTTTGGTAGAAACTTCTTGGGACTAAACAAGTTTACAGATGCATTTAAGAATTGTTCATAAAATATGCATTCTAAAACAAATGTTTTCAAAAGCATCAACAAAATAGCTGATCTTACCTATTGAATCAGGATTGTCCTCAGGTAAATTCAATCATGATACATTATTGCAGTGAACTTAAGTGCAATACTTTGTAAGACATATAATTCCTTCTTTAGTTTTTACATTTTTATACATTGTATATGGTTTAAAAACTAAATTGAATTCAAATTAATTTCAGCACTATACTAAATGAGCAAACTTAACATAAAAGTATGAATTAAGTATGTATAAAACCAGAGGTTAACAACATTTGAATATTTTAGAATTACATTAAAACTGTATTGAATGACCAACCCCAAGTCTAAAAATATTACATATGGTAGGCTAAGACAATACAGAATTTTAAAATGCACTTTCTACCAGTGTCTATATGGAAAGTAGATGCTGAATACCTCAAGAAGCCAAGGGAACAGACAACAGGGAAGTTGTTACAACATGCTTAAAGATGATTATATACAATTGACTTCTGATCTTTTTCTTCAGAATTGGAACTAATACAACTGTCATTTTTCTTCTTCTTTGATTAGAACATTGTTTCATTTCTACTCCTATTTAAAAAATCTTTCAGCTTTTTAATAACTGATATAGTGACTTCACAAAAGTTTAACAGTAGGTAAAACTCTTAAGGAAAAAATTAAATTGTTAATACTTTTTATCTTTTGGGAGACTAGTACAAAGCCAAACAAATTTCCTCTTTTTATGATACAAAGGACTTTAAATTCAGTAGGTGTGCTGCCAAATCAAGCATGAAAGGACTTTAAATTCAACTGGATGCATACTAATAAATGTTACTTGGTATTTGTTTATAAATTCTCTTATACTCAAATTATTTAAAATTTTATAGTAAAAAAGTTAACCTTGGTATTAAGATGACAACAAAATAGTATATTTTTACCACATCCTCAGTTCCTAGATTTCAGAATGTCAACTATTTATTTTGCTGATAATGTTAGGTATCTAAATATCTACAGCTATCTGAAAAGATCTGTGTTGTCTTTGTTAAGCCTCAAGTTCAAAGTGATAAAATAATTTTTTTCCTATATCAAAGTTCCTATTTGACCAGGTAAACAATGATTAGTTTAATTTTTTCGCAAATAAAATATATTTGGTTCTTTTAGCTGCATTAGTTGATTATATCAAATTTGAAATTTATAAGTTTATCCTGTTTTCACAGACTAGGATACCTAAATTCTTGCATTTGTCTCCCGATATACATCTCCTACAATATATCACCAAAGACGAAGAAAGATCTGGCCCAATTTTTGCTTAAAAATTCCAAAGCACTAGGAGCACTTTAAGTTTGGTCTCGAAAGAAGGAGTTGTTTATAAAATCAAAGGGCTACCGATTCCCTGTTCATCCTGCACTGAAGCACATAATGACAATTTCAAACCTTTCTTTTGTATTCATTAATTAGAAAAATGAATTTCATTGCTTAAATGTGTAATTCTACAGTGACTAGCAATATTTGTTATCATTTCATTTGGATGGTCATTAATTTTGAATCTCTTACCACTCATTGTAGTTGGTTGTAGTTTTATGGAAGATGTAATTTATAGCTAAAGTGGCTTTTTTATGCATAGCTGCCTTTTTTATTGTTTAATAGTGTTTCTCAGCTATATAATCAGTTTCAAACTGGTTATAAAAATATAGCTGTGGCCAATGAATGTATTGATTTTTCGTTTCACTAAATTGTAACAAAACATTACTATTAAAAATAAAAAGTGTTTGTGCTTTTATTTAGGGGTCTGGTCATCTTCTTTTTTTTTTTATTAGAGCTTTATGGTTGGGGGTATGGTTTTCTTAATCCTCCTTAATCTCTCTTATACTGAGTTTCTATCAGAGGATAAAAATCTTATAGTGTTATCATAGAAAAGAAAAAATATTAAGAATTACAAATGACAGCTTTCTTCAAGTGATCTCACAATTACTTGCATCTGAATCTTATGTTACTTAGTATTATACACCAATTTGATATGAAGTGTCATATACTCTAAAATGCCAATGTTATTAGGTATTATGTATTTAAGCTAAAAAAAATCCTTATGTAAACTAATTTATAACACTTCTCTTTCCCCCTTAGCATCGTAAACAGGAATCAATTTGTTTAAACCATAATCCCAGCTATCTTTCATTATTCAAGAAATTCCTCGGTGATGGTGCCTTTTCCTTTGAGAGTTCTCTGCCTGTCCCCAGACTAGACCCCCTTTCATGGGCCACCAAAAACCATACCTGGGCTGGAGCTGGAGCTCAGTGGTAGAGCACTTGCCTCACACATGTGAGGCACTGGGTTCAATCCTCAGCACCACATAAAAATAAATGAATAAATAGAAATATTGTGTCCATCTACAACTAAAAGAATTAAGAGAAAAAAAAACACACCCAATCTCATATTGAACTTCAGTTTTATTGGCCCCCTAAATTCTATGAATCCTTGGAAGTCTACTGATCCTTGCTGTAGAGTGAAGTGAGTAGAGGTATTTGGAATGAAGGTATGACCTCTCATATGATAAATTTGTCACTTTAAAAGCAATTTATTCAACAAACATTTATTAAATGTTCATATGCCAAAAACTATGCCATGGAGATGCCAAAATGAATAAAGTTCCTTTTCCTGCCCTTGAGGAGCTCACATTCTAGTAAAGGAGACTTTTAAAAATAAAAACAATACAGTACAGTAAGTGATACAGTAGAGGTAGGCTATAATTACAGTGGTGACACAATAGGAAGTTAGATGACGCTCCCTGAATACAGCAAGGGAAAGTCATAGAAGGAATGCTTATGCTGAGCCTGCAGGGATACATGGAAATTTCCAGGTGGGGAAGGATGGCTAGGACACTTGATGCAAAGAATATAGCTTTCACCAAGGTGTAGAGACCCAGCTACTTGCGGTATCTGAAGAACTACAAGTCTGGAAGTAGGTTTTTCAGCACATTAGGTGGAAAGACACAGGAGAGGAATTTGTACACCAAATAAAGGACTTCGGCTTTCTCCAGAAAGTTCATGAACTCAATGAAGGGTGTAAAGCAGACAGTAAAATTGTCAGAATGCTCCCAGAAAGCCTAACTGATAACACTGTAGAGCAACAAAGAGAAGACAAACTGGTTATAAGGAGACATGTTCACATAGTCCTTCGGGTAATAGCAATGAAACGGGAAGAGTGATGCATCAGAAAGGAGGAAGAAAAACAGTAGGAGAAAGTAGAGAAGAGGAATGAGGCAAGAAGACTTAGAAGATGATGGTTCTGAAATTAACCAAAGTAAGGAAAACAAAGAGTAGGGAGAATAAAAAGTGCTTAAACAAACACACAGGTGACCGTAGGACAATCAAGTGAACTGCAGTAAGCAAACATATGGAGAAGTTTGAGCTAAAGGTAAGGATTTAGCAATCATTGAATTGGTATTACCCAAGAGTAGGAAGTGGTATAGTGATAAAGAGACCAAGAATGAAAGTCTGAGGAATTACATTTTGGGAATAAATTAAGAGGCCAAAAAAGAGGGGTCCAAGAGCAAGTAAAATGAGGAACCCAAAGAGCAGAAATTTTTAAAGGAAGTTATCATCAGTAGTGTCAAACATGGGGGGAAAAGCCAAATAAAAATAGTTTTATGTGCCCCCTCACCCTGAAAAAAGAAAGAAAAGAAATAGTTTGCGAACTGAACTATGGATTTAGAATTAGGATTTTAGACCTCACGGGAAGCGACTGAGAAGAACTAGGGCCAAATGCCAGATTTTAGTTAAGAGGTTAGGCAGACATAGGAAAGTGATGGTTTCAAAACTTAACTGGCTGTTGGAAAAGGTGTGGGGGGAGGAGCATAAGATGAGAAAAAAGTTTATACACAAATTTAATATTTAAGCCCATCTACCATATTTTCAGAGATGAGAAAGATCCTTAAATATTTATATATGGAGATCACTTCATAGTCCTTTGAGTTGCCAAAATAATTGACTTAATTAGTGGGTTAATGTTTTCTTTTCCTGCCTTATTCAGAGAAAATGGGGGGAGAGGGTGGAAGAAGGAAAACAGAACACATATTTTTTAACTTAATTCAGTGAACATTCAAAATATACCGAATACATATTCATACATTAATTTAACAAATATTTATTGGATACCAATTATGGGCTTGGCATTGTACCTGGCCTTAGGGTCATAGAAAAGAAAAAATATACAGTGTAAACCCTGCTTTACTAATAACATCAACATGTTATCCCTGCTAAGATTTATAGAAAGTGGGCACATAATTTTGAGGTATACAATTTCTTTTCCCCCACAATTATCATATGACATTAATTCCTAAGCTCCTTCAAGTATTTTTTCACTGAAGAGCTTCCACTAATGAAAATCTCCCAAATTACAGTTCACTTTTGGGGAGGCAAAGGAAATGAAGCTCATGTATAAAAAATAGAAACTGTATACTCTATGACTAAACAGATTAAAAAATAAAAAGGTAACAAAACTTTAGATTATAATTAATAATAATTCCTTATTTTAAGGCTTTCAGATTTGGGGACCTGGGGCTTCTTTTTCTAAGAAAATCAATTTTAGAAAATCATTCAGTATTACACACTAAAGTATTTGGGGTTAGAAGGACAAGATGCCTGTAAGTGACTTTCAAATGAGGAAGAATAGCATTTGTGAATATCTACACAGAGAGTATCAAAGACAAAGCAAATGTGAACAGTTGGCAAATCTGGGTAAAAGAATGTACTATTTTTGAAACTTTTCTGTAAATTTGAAATTATATAAAAATAAAAAGTTTTCCCCAAATTTACTTTTAGGGAAAGTATTATGAGAATAAATATATAATCTATTCAATTTTTCACAATGCTTAGAAATCTCCTATGCTTTTGCCTTGTTATTGTACTTTTTACATACCAAACAATCCAATCAAATAGAAATATAACTCTCAACATGATTTATTTCATACCAAAGTATCTTAGGGTTTCCAAATAAAACACAGGACTCCCAGTTAAATTTGAATTTCGAATAAATAATGAATAATTTTTAGTTAAGTATGTCCCAAATAAGATATGCAACATACTTATATTTAAAATAAAACTAGCTGTTGACCTGAAATTCAAATCCAACTGAGAATTCTGTATTTTTATTTGTTAAATCTGGCAACCCTAAATGTATTTAAAAATTCTAGACTATTATGGGCGATTCATGAAACTCATTACATTTTCTTATTAAATGCTTATCACATTGCCAGTTTTATTTTTGTTACATCTTCTTAAACAGAATTGAGAGACTTAAAACATCATTCACCTAGTTTTATCATCTGTGAATCTGATAATCCTGTTT